TACTCACATCTTCAAGCAGAGTATAGCACTTTGTCTGGATTTCTTGGGTTATCCTAGGTAATTTACACTATGTATACTTGTATTTATGTGTACCTGTGAGACAGAGATAGGCAGACAGATAGAAAGAGAGACAGATTGAAAGATATAGAATGAGGGAGAAAGATAATTAGATAGAATGGAGGAGGGGAAGCAGCATCCGACCCCATTGTTTTGACAGGCGGTAAGGGTAGTGACTAATGAGACAATATGTCACTTTGACAGCTGCCGACTTCTGACTCAAAACAATTATAAGCCACACACTCCCACACAAGACAAGGAGGAGGAGGAGGAGGAGGAGGAGGAGGAGGAGGAGGAGGAGGATGAGGAGGAGGATGATGATGAGGATGATGATGAGGATGATGATGATGATGATGAGGATGATGATGATGAGGATGATGATGATGATGATGATGATGATGATGAGGAGGAGGAGGAGGAGGATGATGATGATGAGGAGGAGGAGGATGATGAGGAGGAGGAGGATGATGAGGAGGAGGAGGAGGATGAGGAGGAGGAGGATGATGAGGAGGAGGAGGATGATGAGGAGGAGGAGGATGAGGATGATGATGATGATGATGATGATTTTGTTTGTTTTTGTAAACAAGTTTTGTAAACAATATATTGATAATTATGTTTGTGTGCTTATTGTGTTGTATACGAGTGTATATATATACATTGCACCTTACTTTGGTCTCATAGGCCACATAAGTTATGTGAAAAAATAAAATAGTGATAAAAACAAAAAACCTTCAATTACAAGTAAACTAAAGTTTACCGGGTGAGCGGCAGTCGCCGCTGTTGCCATACGCGGCTCATTTTCTGCAAACTTCACGGCTCTATATCTCGGTAAGTACCGATGGCAAAAAATTTTTTTTGGGACTAAAACACTCAGAAAAATAATCTTAACATTTTCATAAGAAAAAATAATTTATTTTTTTTTTTTTTTTGAATATTTGGCGACATAGAATGACAGTTTCAGAGAGGGGCCTGAAACAGTCAAAGGGTTAAGGACCTACTATACTTGTGAAAATAAAATAAAAAAATGCCACAACTTCCTGAGTTTTCAATATTTCTCAGTTATAATCCATATTAAATTCTCTACAATCAGATAAGAATAAAAAGTCTGATTATATTAAGAATTTTCATACCTTCTATGAGCTACCACACAAGGACAGCAGAATGGGTGAAGTAAAATTTTGAACTAGAACCTACACATTTTTGGGGAGTGAGTTTGTGATACATGCTAAAATAGCCAATCCTTCCAAGGTATGGCAAGCATACTCTGTTTTTTTCCACAAATGTACGTATATTAACAATGTGCTAAACATACTATAAGTATATCAAAGGGTTTAACCAGTAGGGGTAAATATAAATTAACATTGCACACTAAACATATCACAAGCATATGAATTTGTATATAGCTGAAACTAACAAGCAAACTGATTGTATTTTCTCTGATGGGCAAAGGCTATTAACATTCCCCTTGATATTCTATTACTCTGATAGGTATACATGTTTGTATTACATAAACTGTAAGATGTGTATATTTTTGTTCATTTTTTTTTTTTTTGCAACACATTGGTTGTCTCCCACTGAGGCAGGGTGACCCAAAAAAGAAAGAACCACTTTCACCATCATTCACACAATCACTGACTTTGCAGAGGTGCCCAGCTACAACAGTTTAGATGTCACTCCAAACACCCACTATCTCTCAGACTCCTACTTTAAAGTGTAGGCATTGTACTTCCCACCTCCAGGATTCAAGTCCGGCTAACCGGTTTCCCTTCACAAAATATTACCCTACTCACACTCCAACAGCTCGTCAGGTCCCAGAAACCATTCACTCCTGTCTAACATGCTCGCATATGCTTGCTGCATGTCCAAGCCCCTTGCACCCAAAACCACTTTTACCCCCTCTCTCCATCCTTTCCTATGGCAATCCCTACCCTCCTCCCCTCCACTATACACCTCCAAGTCATCCTATTTTGCTCCATCCTATCTAAATGACCAAACCACCTCAACAAACCCCTCTTCAGTCCTTTGACTAATCCTTTTAGTAACTCCACACCACCTAATTTCCACACTACAAATTCTTTGCATAATATTTACACCATATGTTGTCCTTAGATATTACATCTCCATTGCCTCCAGCCTCCTCTTTGCTGCAGCATTTACAACCCATGCTTCACACCCATATAAGAGTGTTGGTACCACCATACTCTCATACATTCCCTTCTTTGCTTCCATGGAAAATTAAAAGTCTGGCAGGTTAAGGGCTGGACAATATAAGTGGGTTATTATAATTGTAAAGACCTGCCTTGGCATACAAACTATACCAGAAAGGCATTTAGCCTGCATCGATGGTTTATAAGATTCTGCAAAATTGATGCCTTGCTTCATCACATAAAAATGAAGCCTTCAGTTGGTGTCCAGTTCAAAATCCTTATCATGATAAAGCATGCTTATCAGTACTAGCATCACTTTGTTTTTCCATACTTAGAGTCAAGGGTTTACAAAAAAAATTTGGTCAGAAAAAATGTGAATGTGGCATCTCAACCTTCCAATGGCTATCATCCTTTGATTTCTCACTGCTTCTGGGAAGTGAATCCACAGTCTGTGCTCCTTCTATATGTAGGTTTTGCTGGTCCAGAGTTTAATGCTATCTGACTGTCAAGTCTACTATTCAGTGCTACACGGTTAAAGTGCTAAGTAAATATCACAACTACTACTACTTCGTCTGTTCTTCTCCACTGCATTTGCTGGATCCTGTTCACCACCTGGTGTTCTGGCTGCACACTTGCATTACAGAGTGCATGTGTTTATTCTGGTGAGTTCTTCCTGGATGAACGTAAGCAACTGAGCTTGTGCTACCTTTTCCATGTTCAATGCACTCTTTAGAATGTAGTATGCTACTGTGTTTTGTGGCAGAGAAAAGGGCTACCTTCCTATACTGTTTAAGGCCTAATATCTACTTAGTTGGGTTATGTATAAACACGAAAAGATAAAAATGGGTCACAGAAAATATAATGTTCAATAAGGACAAATTCCAGCTACTCTGTTAAGGAATTAAAAGCTAGAATGGAGTATAAGACAACTTCTCACCACACAATAGAATGAAAAACTAATGTGAAGGACTTAGGAATGATAATATCAGAGGATTTCACGTTCAAGCATCACAAGTGTCATTATCACATCTGTGAGGAAAACGATAGGATGGATAATTAGAACCGTTCAAATAAGAAATGCCAAGCCATTGAAGATTCTCTAAGTCACTTGTTCTATCTAAACTGGAATACTGTTATACACTAATAGCCCCTTTCAAGGCAGGTGAAGCTGTACATTTGGAGAATGTATAGAAGACCTCACTGTGCAGATAAGCTCGGTAAAGCACCTCGATTATTGGGAAGGTTCGAAATCCCTTAACTTGGGCTCCCTGGAGTGCAGGTGAGAAAGGTCACCTTGCCTCAGTGGGAGACAGTCGAAGTGTTAAAAAAAATACAATGGAACCTCTACTTACAAGTTTAATCCATTCCACGACCTTGCTCACATCTGGATTTGCTCGTTTGCAGAGTCAATTTTCCTCATTTAAATTAATTTAAATGGAATTACAGTGGTACCCTGAGTTTCGAACTTAATTCATTCCAGAAGGCTGTTAGAGTGCCGATACTGAATGAATTTGTTCCCATAAGGAATAATGTAAATTAGATTAGTCCGTTTCAGACCCCCCAAAAATACACTTACAAACGCACTTACAAAAATACACTTACATAATTGTTCGAATTGGGAGCAGTTCGAAACTAGGGGTACCACTGTAATTCGTTCCAGTGGAATTCCAGGCACGAGAAAATACTTCAATAATTTCCCTAATATCAACTCAACAGCTTATTTATCTATCACAATTCATGTAATATGACATAATAAACAATATTAATAACAAAGAAACATGATATGAATAAAATACATGTCATTACGTATGTGGCTAGTGGTGATGATGGTGGCCATTGTTGTTGTTGTTGGGGTTTATAGGGCCACCACAGTGGCCATTTCTGCTCCTGACTACATGTGTAGAGAACCTAGGATAACCCAAAAAACTCAGACACAGTGACTTACAAGTACTACACACTTAATGCTACACTGCTACTGCTGCATCATGTTGTCTGCCACTGCTACCTCATGATGTCTGCCACTATTGCTTCATGATGTCTGCCACTGCTGCTTCATGTTGTCTGCCACTGCTACTTCATGTTGTCTGCCACTGCTGTTTCATGATGTCTGCCACTGCTACCTCATGATGTCTGCTCCCACTTTTGCTAGTGTGCTGAAGAGCTTTCCAATATGTGAATGTTGAGGGGCAGTGCCAATCAGACAGGTACTGGGCAGTGACGTCATTTGTTTACTCTTGAACACTGACAAAGAATCGAAAATTTCTGCTACTTTGAGCTCAATTTCAAGGTACTTTTCATTGTGAAACCAATAAAAATCATATCTATTTTTGTAGTATATCTTCCATTCTATCAAATGACACCAAAAAAAGAGAATACAACCATAAAAACCATACAAAAATATACCGCTAAGGGGAGGCTAATGGCTGAGAAGTGAACTCCGTTATTTATGGTCCGATTTCTTTCATTTTTGGTGTACATACGTTAAGAAGCATCTTTCCATCATACATTGCCCAAGTTTCAATAAAATAGTCCAACAAGCAACTGAGATCCAATTCCCTAGATCAAGAGCAAGAGCCCCTCACCAGTGTCAAGGAACCTCCCTTGAGGCCCGCTAGCATCTGGAAATTTTGCTCGTATCTGGAAGCAAAATATCGACAGAGCGACTGCTCATAACTGGAAAAACTCGCACGTGGATGCCCTCATAAGTAGATTCCACTGTATTTTAAACTTTTTCCATCAGCTGTAGTATGGTGCTTTTTGTATTTAAACTTTGTTAATATTGCACACTGCACTTACTTTGACAGGAGTGGCATCCATCTTAATCTTGCCCCAAGACACAGCTTCATCAGGTCGAGCACCACTGTCGCTACCGTCCCACTCACTGGCTGTGTTTAAGAACACCGAGAAGTTGGCTCCATTTCTCTGTACAAAAATAAAATAAATATAATACTGTATATCCTAGGTAGTAGGTTGGTAGACAGCAACCGCTCAGGGACATACTACTGTACTGCCAATTAAGTGTGAAATGGAAGCCTGTAATTGTTTTACATGATGGTAGGATTGCTGGTGTCTTTTTTCTGCCTCATAAACATGCAAGATTTCAGGTATATCTTGCTACTTCTACTAACACTTATATCACACTACACATACATAGACAAGCATATATATACACACACACCCCTCTGGGTTTTCTATTTCCTTACTAGTTCTTGTTCTTGTTTATTTCCTCTTATCTCCATGGGGAAGTGGAACAGAATTCTTCCTACATGAGCCATGTGTATTGTAAGAGGCAACTTAAATGCCGGGAGCAAGGAACTAGTAGCCCCTTCTCCTGTATACATTACTAAAGTTAAAAGGAGAAACTTTTTTCTTTTGGGCCACCCTGCCTCGGTGGGATACAGCCAATTTGTTGAAAGAAGAATACTGTATGTATATATATGTATATTGTATGTATAATGTATATATTATTATATATATATATATATATATTATATATATATTATATATATATATATATTATATATTATATATAGATTTTTTTTTTTTTCAACAACTCGGTCGTCTCCCACCGAGGCAGGGTGACCCAAAAAAGAAAGAAAAATCCCAAAAAGAAAATACTTTCATCATCATTCAACACTTTCACCACACTCACACATTATCACTGCTTTTGCAGAGGTGCTCAGAATACACAGTTTAGAAGCATATACGTATAAAGATACACAACATATCCCTCCAAACTGCCAATATCCCAAACCACTCCTTTAAAGTGCAGGCATTGTACTTCCCATTTCCAGGACTCAAGTCCGACTATATGAAATAACCGGTTTCCCTGAATCCCTTCACTAAATATTACCCTGCTCACACTCCAACAGATCGTCAGGTCCCAAGTATCATTCGTCTCCATTCACTCCTATCTAACACGCTCATGCACGCTTGCTGGAAGTCCAAGCCCCTCGCCACAAAACCTCCTTTACCCCCTCTTTCCAACCCTTTCGAGGACGACCTCTACCCCTCTTTCCTTCCCCTATAGAGTTATATGCTTTCCATGTCATTCTACTTTGATCCATTCTCTCTAAATGACCAAACCACCTCAACAACCCCTCTTCTGCCCTCTGACTAATGCTTTTATTAACTCCACACCTTCTCCTAATTTCCCCACTCCGAATTTTCTGCATAATATTTACACCACACATTGCCCTTAGACAGGACATCTCCAACTGCCTCCAACCGTCTCCTCGCTGCTGCATTTACCACCCAAGCTTCACATCCATATAAGAGTGTTGGTACTACTATACTTTCATACATTCCCTTCTTTGCCTCCATAGATAACGTTTTTTGACTCCACATATACCTCAATGCACCACTCACCTTTTTTCCCTCATCAATTCTATGATTAACTCATCCTTCATAAATCCATCCGCCGACACGTCAACTCCCAAGTATTGAAAAACATTCACTTCTTCCTTTACTCCTCCCCCCCATTTGATATCCAATTTTTCTTTATCTAAATCATTTGATCCCCTCATCACCTTACTCTTTTCTATGTTCACTTTCAACTTTTACCTTTACACACATTCTCAAATCACCCACTAACCTTTGCAATTTTTCTTTAGAATCTCCCATAAGCCACAGTATCATCAGCAAAAAGTAACTTGTCAATTCCCATTTTGAATTTGATTCCCCATAATTTAATCCCACCCCTCTCCCGAACACCCTAGCATTTACTTCTTTACACCCCCTCTATAAATATATTAAACAACCATGGTGACTTACAATCCCTGTCTAAGACCTACTTTTACCGGGAAGTATTCTCCCTCTCTTCTACACAAACCCAACCTGAGCCTCACTATCCTCATAAAAGCTCTTTACAGCATTTAGTAACTTACCACCTATTCCATAAACTTGCAAAAATCTGCCCCATTGCTCCTCTATCCCCTCTATCATATGCCTTTTTAAATCCATAAATGCAATAAAAACTTCCCTACCTTTTTCTAAATACTGTTCACATATATGCTTCAATGTAAAACACTTGATCTACCCCATCCCCCACCCCCTCTGAAGCCTCCTTGCTCATCCGCAATTCTACATTCTGTCTTACCTCTAATTCTTTCAATTATAACCCTACCATATACTTTTCCTGGATATACTCAGTAAACTTATTCCCCTATAATTTTTACAATCTCTTTTGTCCCTTTCCCTTTATATAAAGGGACTATACATGCTCTCGCCAATCCCTAGGTACCTTCCCCTCTTTCATACATTTATTAAACAAAAGTACCAACCACTCCAACACTATATCCCCCTGCTTTTAACATTTCTGTCATGATCCATCAGTTCCAGCTGCTTTACCCCCTTTCATTCTACGTAATGTCTCACGTACCTCCACCACACTTACATTCTGCTCTTCTTCACTCCTAAAAGATTGGTATACCTCCCTGGCCAGTGCATGAAATTACCGCCTCCCTTTCTTCCTCAACATTTAAAGTTCCTCAAAATATTCTCGCCATCTACCTAATACCTCCCTCTCCCCATCTACTAACTCCCACTACTCTGTTTTTAACGGACAAATCCCATACTTTCCCTAGGCTTTCTTAACTTGTTTAACTCACTCCAAAATTTTTTCTTATTTTCATTAAAATTTCTTGACAGTGCCTCTCCCACTCTTTCATCTGCTCTCCTTTTGCACTCTCTCACCACTCTCTTCACCTTTCTTTTACTCTCCATATACTCTGCTCTTCTTATAACACTTCTGCTTTGTAAAAACCTCTCGTAAGCTACCTTTTTCTCTTTTATCACACCCTTTACTTCATCATTCCACCAATCACTCCTCTTTCCTCCTGCCCCCACCCTCCTATAACCACAAACTTCTGCCCCACATTCTAATACTGCATTTTTAAAACTATTCCAACCCTCTTCAACCCCCCCACTACTCATCTTTGCACTAGCCCACCTTTCTGCCAATAGTCGCTTATTATCTCCCCCGAACTTCCTCCTCCCTTAGTTTATACACTTTCACCTCCCTCTTACTTGTTGCCACCTTCTCTTTTCCCATCTACCTCTTACTCTAACTGTAGCTACAACTAAATAATGATCTGATTATCAGTTGCCCCTCTATAAAACATGTACATCCTGGAGCCTACCCATCAACCTTTTATCCACCAATACATAATCTAAACAAACTACTTTCATTACATGCTACATCATACCTTGTATATTTATCCTCTTTTTCATAAAATATGTATTACTTATTACCAAATTTCTTTCTACACATAACTCAATTAAAGGCTCCCCATTTACATTTTACCTCTGGCACCCAAATTTACCTACTACTCCCTCCATAACATTTTTACCCACTTTAGCATTGAAATCCCCAACCACCATTACTCTCACACTTGATTCAAAAACTCCCACGCATTCACTCAACATTTCCCAGAATCTCTCTCTTCCTCTACACTTCTCTCTTCTCCAGGTGCATACACGCTTACTATAAACCACTTTTCAATCCAATCTTTATTTTACTCCACATAATCCTTGAACTTATGCATTTGTAGTCCCTCTTTTCCTGCCATAGCTTATCCTTCAACATTATTGCTACTCCTTCTTTAGCTCTAACTCTATTTGAAACCCCTGACCTAATCCCATTTATTCCTCTCCATTGAAACTCTCCCACCCCCTTCGGCTTTGTTTCACTTAAAGCCAGGACATCCAGTTTCTTCTCATTCATAACATCCACAATCATCTCTTTCTTATCATTTGCACAACATCCACGCACATTCAGACTTCCCACTTTGACAATTTTCTTCTTATTCCCCTATAATTTTTACAATCTTTTTTGTCCCCCTTCCCTTTATATAAAGGAACTATACACACTCTGTGCCAATCCCTAGGTACCTTCCCCTCTTTCATACATTTACGAAACAAAAATACCAACCACTCCAACACTATATGTCCCCCCTGCTTTTAACACTTTTGTCATGATTCCATCAGTTCCAGCTGCTTTATCCCCCCTTTCATTCTATGTAATGCCTCATGCACCTCCCTCACATTTACATCTTGCTCTTCTTCATTCGTAGAAGATGGTATACCTCCCTGGCCAGTGCATGAAATTACTGCCTCCCTTTCTTCATCGACATTTAAAAGTTCCTCATAATATTCCTGCCATCTACCCAATACCTCCAGCTCCCCATCTACTAACTCCCCTACTCTGTTTTTAATTGACAAATCCATTCATTCCCTAGGCTTTCTTAACTTGTTTATCTCACTTCAATTTTTTTTTCTTACTCTCAGCAAAATTTACTGACAGTGCCTATCCCACCCAATCATTTGCTTTCCTTTTGTACTCTCTCACCACTCTCTTCACCTTTCTTTTACTCTCCATATACTCTGCCCTTCTTATGTCACTTCTGCTGTGTAAAAACCTCTCATATGCTAACTTTTTCTCTTTTATTGCACCCTTTACCTCATCATTCCACCAATCACTCCTCTTTCCTCCTGCACCCACCCTCCTATAGCCACAAACTTCTGCCCAACATTCTTATATTGCATTTTGAAAACTGTTCCATCCCTCTTCAATTCCCCCCTCCCCCTCATAACCCATACTTGCAATAGCCCACCTTTCTGATAATAGTTGCTTATAACTCACCCTAACTTCCTCCTCCCTTAGTTTGTAAACTTTCACCTCTGTCTTACTTACTGTTGCCATTTTTGCTTTGTCCCATCTACCTCTTACTCTTAACTGTAACTACAACTAGTTAATGATCCGATATATCCATTGCACCT